CTCTCATTGCTGTGTAACCTATAGTGCAACCCCTATAGTGCAGCTGGGCTCCACTTCCCAGGCAGACCCAGGGGCTATCTGGGTAGACAAACAAGAGCAGAGGAGGCCTCAGGAGCTGTTCAGATCAAACAGCTGATACCCACAGGTTAGCTGAGCTTCTCCCTGCCTCTCTGGCCCTAGGTTCACCTCTTAAGAGAGGTGTACCATCTCAAAATCAGGGGTGGAAAGAGCTCTGAACTCTGAGATGGTTTCTCCTCCTCTCCAAATGGAAAAGAAGTGGATTTGTCCTGGAAAGAAAGAAGTTACATTTCTTGCACGGGGTGGGGAAGAAATCTTGGTAGTGCTACAAATCAGCAACAATCTCACAAGCAAATGTACGCTTGCCAAGGTGACAAAGGTTGGGAGGTGAGGTCCAGGGCCCAGGCACTACTTGAGGCTATTTTAGAAGAATGAGGCACCTGGCTGTGGCAGGCAGGGAATGGAGCGCTGACAGATGGGTATGAGAAACACCTGGGGGAAACCATGGGCAGGAATCCTGTGCTTGGTGGTGCTTGGGAGGCACAAAGAACTACTACCTCAGAGAAGCGCAGCCCCCCCCCCCCCTTGCAAAGCAAGGAGGATCCCGGTCCCCAGTGCGTTTCCCCAGAGTCAGGAGGGGGGCAAAAAGAGTTCCTGTTTTAGAACCTCAAGTTTGAGGAACTGATTTAAACCTCAGGGAGAAGCTGTCCACTGGCTGACAGTCTTGGTGATAAAAAAGTATGTGGGTGTCAGTCTCCTGACTTCTTGAATCCTCACACCTACCGTGAAATAGGATTGTTACTACCTTCCCGGTTCTACCGTTGAAGGAACCATGGCGCCCCCAAATGAAGTGACTCGGTCAGGGTGGCAGGCAAAAAAGATCACTCCCTTTAGCACGACCCCTTTGTTGTAGAAAAGGGGTCGGGCGGGGTCCCTTCTCTGAGGTTTCAGGACGGGAAGTTAGGACACAAGCTGATTTAGGAGTCATTGAAAGAAGGTGGCGATGGCAGTACACGCTGAAGATAACGACGCACTTCCCGGCGTTGTGGTGCCTTTCATTTCAGCTCACACGTCGTTTCCCTTTGTGCCTTTTTAGCGCCAAAAGTTTCCTCCAAAAGACCAAGTGTTCTCGGGAGGCGCCACCTTAGAACTACATTTCCCACAACGCCGCAGGCAGCTCGCTCTCGACAAGAACTACATTTCCCAAAATGCCGAGGGGCTGGGGAGAAGCCAGTTGGCCTCCATCCCTATCTCAAAGATACAGTTTTCGCACCCTGCAGCCCAAATGTAGCCACTTCTTTCCCCTTTCCTTGCAGAGGCTTCCGTTCCCAGCTTGTAACTTCCGATTCCATTCGTTTCTCGGTGCGATTGTTTAGAGGAGAGAAAAAACAAAAACAAACCCAAAAACCAGCACAACGTAATCTGAAGGGGAGAGCGCATGCGCTCAGGGCACCTAGTTTAGCCAGCGAGCAAGACCGCCAGGCTCCGGCCGCCTCCCGCCTTGCGCGTGCGCAGACGATAAACCAACGCCCCGGAGTCGAGGCGCGGGTTTGGTGGCGCGTTTTAGCGAAGTCGCACGTGAACGGTAGCAGCGACCAGAGTCCGGTGAGTGCGCGCCGAGGCCGGGGCTTGAGGGACGGCGCGTGGGACCCGGAGGTGGCAGCCGCCGCGGGCAGGGCCAGGGTGGAGCCGCGAGGCCTGCAGAGCCCGAATGGGGAGGGGTCCAAAGGGGTCCTGGGCCGCGCGTGGCCGGGCGGGGAGGGGGACGCACTGGGGACCCGGATGATCCTCGTTGCTATGCAACGGGGGGCGCTGCTCCTAGGTAACGCGGGAGGCGCGCGTTTCCGGGGAGAAGCGGGTTCCGAGCGCCGCTCCGAGGTCCGCGGAGGCTGCCCGACAGGGGGACGCGGCCAGCTCCAGCCCCCCCTGCGCCGAACTCCGCGGCCCGAGCCCCTCGGGGCCCCGCATCCCGGCCGCACCGCGCCCCTGCCCGCGCCGCCACCCAGCAGGGCTTGGCAGGCAGGGGACGCACTGTTGAAAATAGCACATGCCACTGACACCCTGTCTGGAGGAGGCTGGGCCCTGGGCGGGCGCCGCGCGGCCCCATGGCTGCCCCTTCGCTTCGCCGCCGCCCTGCCCCCAAACAGTTGTTGGGCCGCAGCTGTCAGGGTCTTAGTGGGACAACCCCAGATTTGCCGGGGGCCGCTGACTCCTTTCTCTTGAATGCCGGCTTCGGCCCAGCTGGCAGCGCCCTTCCAATCCGGCCGCTGCTGCTGATTGAGATCAGCGATGAAAACATCCCTCCCTAGACTTTTCGACACTTCTACACTCAGGGGTTCGTGACGTGCTGCTGGGCACTGGAACGCCAAGATAAATTTATGTGGCAAGTGTAGCTCGAAGTGCCTAAGATCTCCTGGGGGCGGCAGGTGTGCAACTACCTGATGCTACAATGTAAACTCGCGTTGACTTTGGCAGAGGGGTGGGGAACGGGTGCTGCACCATTTCTGCAGGGGCTGACCCGGTGTGAACTCTTTGTAAACACTTCTCTTGTCCAAGTGAAAAGACTGAGGGAAGCTCAGACGGGTTAAGTAGCCCAGGTGAGGGGTGGCTTTTCTAGGCCCTTGGCACAGAGCCCCACGATTGGGGCTTTGCCTGCTGTTGTTAGGTGGCATCAAGTCGCTTCCGACTCATAGCCACTGGGTGTGCAACAGAAGGAAGCACCGCCCAGCCCTGGGCTGCCCTCACTGAAGTGGTTACGTTTGAGCCCATTGTTGCAGCCGCTGTGTCAATCAGAGGGGCTTTGCCTGGAGTTGGTTTTCCTGCCCGTTGCTGCCTGCCTGCCTGCCTGCCTGAGAAAGGCCTGTGGAGCTTGAAAAACAAAGCCCTGCAAGCCCCCACCCTACCCCCTCTTCTCCTCCCCAGGAAGGTGGGGCAGACTTCCTGGCTTCAGTAGGCTCCACGGGCTGTGCTGATGGGCATCTACATTGAGAACCGTTGCTCCAGAGAGGCACCTGTGAGCAGTGGATAGGGAAATCAGGGTCAACAGAGGGCACCCAGTTAGCTGCCCCTCCGGCCACAGGTGGATTCATAGAGAGGAGACCAAACCACCTACTTGGCCAGGAGAGGAGGAAGGGCCAGCCCAGGCGGGTATGAGCTGTCCCACCCTGCCCTAGCAATCACAGCTATGCTACGGTCTCTCTCTCCGCCCTGATAAGTGAAACCCTTCCCCAGCCCTGCCAGGTTTGGCTGGCCCAGCCAGAGTCAGAACATCCAAACCCCTAGCACAAAAGTGGCAGGTCTTGTCCCTGCCTCTGCCTTCTCATGCTTCTACCTGTAAGCCCTGCTCTGCAGGCTCATCTCCAGGTGTGCGGTCCCCTCTGGGCACCCGATGTCCCCGCACTTTGAGCTTATTACCATCTGGCAGACCTGTAAGCCCCTTGAGGGCAGGGATCAACTCTTCTTGTGCCTGGACCATCTGTGCAGTGAGCTCAAGGGCAAGACTTGGAACCTGGGTTCTGGGGCCAAGCCCCAGCGCCACTGCGTGATCTTGGGCAGGCCACTGACATCAAGTCAAAGTTTCCTGAATAACATGGGGGAGAGCCTAAGCCTGTGACAATCTCTCCCGCAGCCCCACACAGCACCTACTCTGTTTGTTGCTGAGGGCTTCCTGTAGGCCTGAGGCCCGGCAGGCAGCGTAGGAGAGGAAACTATCGGGACCTTCAGAAGGGGCCCAGGTGGTGCTGTGGGTTAGGTGAGGAGCTGCAAGGTCAGCAGGTCAACCCCATCAGCCATGACCAGGGAAAAAGACAAGGCCGCCCGCTCCTGTGGGATTTACACGGCACCGGAAACCCTGCCTCAAGTCGGAGTGCACTCACTGACAGTGGGTTTCATTCCCTTTGGGGTTCTGGCAGAGCTAGGAACTGTTTCGGCTCCTGGCAGCCGTGGCCAAAGAGCAGATGTGTCATGGCCATGGGACAGACCGCTGTGTGCTTGGAAGGAAACTCTAAAACAAACTCCTGGCCAAGTTGATGGTGACTCATAGGGACCCTACAGGGCAGGGCAGAACTGCCCTTGTAGGTTTCTGAGGCTGTAATTCTTTAAGGGAGTAGAGACCCTCAGATCAGTTTGAGGTTTCGAACTGCTGACCTTGTGGTTAGCAGCCCAGTGCTTATCCACTACACCACCAGGGTTCCTGTGCTGCCTGGGATTAGCCTAGAACTAAGACAGGTCAGCCAGTCAGCCATACTTGTTATCTCCAAAGGGGGCATGCTGGCTTCTGGGAGATTTGGGGTGTGCTGTCCTTAGGTGCTGGTCTCACTGCGTAGGTTTCTTTCCAGGTCCCTGACTCCCCCCAACTGGAGGCAGGGGCCACTGGAGCATCATTCTGGCTGTGGCCTCACATGTCACCCTGACCTGCAGTAGCAGAGACGACATCCGATCCCTCCTGGTGGAAGTCCTGGGATATAGGATCCAACCCAAGATAGCAACCTGCTCTTTTAAGTCCCCGACGTGGATCTGACCCAGATCGCCCAGGACCTGACCCGGCCTTCCTCCACTCAGCCAGTAGGCAGGCAGGAGCCACCTGGGCCCTGGTTTGTGCCAAAGAGAGTAGAAGGCTTTCCCAACCCAAGGACCTGCCACCCGGATTGCATGCTATGCAACGCGTGCTGACATTGGGACCCTCCAGAGGGGCTTAGAGCAGCTGTGGTGGGCCCAAATTCTCCCTGAATGTGTATTTTTAGAGTCCTTTTTTGGACTTCCCCCTCCTCTCCTTTCAAGAGTAGGAAGGGACTTCCCTCCCTGGCTGCTCTGTCCTGATGGCCCTGGATTTCTGGCCAACACCCACCCCACCCCCTAGTGTCAGGGTAACAACAAAAACCTTAGAAGTCTGCCTGCCCGCCTGCCCCCCTCCCCCCCAGAGGAGAGAACAGGAACTTGCCAGGGCTGTTGGCCACGTCTCAAGCAGGGTGGCAAGTGGAAGGTGGATTGGCAAACATTATTCTTGGCTGCCCCTCACCTGGTTCGATGACTAGATATTTGTTGGTCTTAACTGGCCTGCAGCATCATGTTGCACACACACCAAGCAGTTTATTGGCTCCTGTGCCTGTTCCCCAGAAAGCCCCTGAGCCGAGTGCTGGGCGTCAGGTTTGTTTTCCTGCAGGAATAACCCGTGCTCCGGCCGTCCAAGCCCGGAGGAGGCTTCATCCGGAGGGAGAAAGCGAAGGGGTTGTAGGCCCGGGGTCTGCAAGAAGATGCGCCTGGACTCAAATTCCATTTCCCTACTTCCTCAGCTCCCTGCTCAGTCAGCACTGGGTACTCACAATGCCCACCTGGTAGGTTCTTGTGAAGTAGGTGTTGTGTGGCACCACGCCGCTGCGTGGGGTGATCCCGACTCGTGACTGTGGGACACAGTGGAATGGCCCCTGTGGGTGTCCAAGACTGTGATCTTTAGGGACCACCATGCCTTTCTCCCATGGAGCGACTGGTGGGTTTGAACTGCCAACCTGTTGGTCAACAGCCAGACACTTAAACCTCTATGCCACCAGGGCACCTTGTTGCCTAACACAGACCTAGTGAAATGGTCTTTTTTTATTCAAAATAACATCTTTCTTTAAAGGGTGTCTTTAACCCTTTACGTATCCTGGCGGGGAACAGTGTGGCCACCCTGTATCAGTGATCCTTGGCTTGGGCTCTCGGACCACTCCCCCCACTCCCGGCCCCCTGGAAGCTCTCACAGCCCTGTGCCTGGTCCATCCCTGGACAAGGGCATCAGGACCCCTGGGAGTGGGAAAGGGTGGCCACACTTGGCACAGTGCCCAGGTGATGCTGATGAACAGCCACATGGAGAGTCACAGGGAACAGGAAGTCCGGGTTCGAGGCTTGGCCTCACCACTTCTGACCCTCCTTTCCTTCTCTTCCATTCGAGGGGGGACACGACGCAACCTGCACAGCACATTGGCTCATGTGCATCTGTGATTCCTGCTGGAGTGCAGAATTGTGCCCTTCTGTTTCCATCGTCATACCATGGCAGTTGTAACTGTGTGTGTGTGTGTGTGTGTGTGTGTTGGTATCAGCTTTATCTTAAGTAGATTAGAAGCTGCGGAGGGACAAGACCGACAGCATCTGAGACATAGGCCTTTATCTTTCTCTCGCTGCCAGTAAGTCGATTCCCATTCACTCAACCCTATAGGGCTGGATAGAAAGCCCCCCATGGCTTTCTGAGACTATCTCTTTCTGGGAATAGAAAGCCCCTTCTTGCTCCTGATGATCAGCTGGTAGTTTTGAACTGCTGACCTTGCAGTTAGCAGCCCACTGTGTAACCTCCTATGCCACCAGGGCTCCAGATCCGCAATCAGCCAGCTTTTCTCAAACTGTAAGAAACCTAGGAAAGTTCTCTCCATCCACCCCGAAGGCATTGCAGGCAGCTTGGGGGCTAATTAATATGCAAGTGGTGTGCAAAGAGAAAGAGGAGCTTGGGAATCAGGTGGTTGTGCCAGTTCTCTCAGTGGACAGCTCTCTCTCTCTTTGGCTTCAGTGTAGCTGCCTGCAGGGCAACTCCTAGCTGGGATAGTGGGTTTCTCCCAGTCGGGACTCCTGGTTTTACTCTGTGCCTCTCTCCCGGCAGACCAGCCATGGCAGGCTCAGGCAGCCGCTCGTCCTGGGGCAAGCATCTGTTCAACATCGGCCTGAGGGTCCTAGTGGTCCTCGCCCTCCTCCACTTGGCATTGTCCCAGTCCCACCGAGACTTCGCACCACCAGGCCAGCAAAAAAGGGAGGCCCCGGTGGGTCTTCTGACCCAGATCGGCCGCTCTCTGCGGGAGACACTGGACGCCTGGGTCGGGCCTGAGAACATGCACCTGGTGTCAGAGGTAAGGAGCAGAGGCCCCTGGACCCACCCTTGGGACTGGTCAAGGGAGAATCGGGCTGTGCCTGGCCAGCCTTCATGGCTCCACGCCTCCTCTGTTCCCTGGTCCCTAGTGCAGAGAGGCCCCGTGCTACCAAAAGGAGCCAGCCCACACTTTCTCTCTCATCATTTGATGCTTGTCCTGGGGCCTGGTTGCCCCACCCTCATCTTTCCCTGGCCCCAGGCCTTCCCAGCCACATGTGTAAGCCATGTAAGCCATGGCACTGGGTGACTAGGGTCAGGATGGGCCCTGAAGTCTTTGGTTGTCAGACATTGAGAATGAGCCCATCTCTTCCCCCTTGAAAGACATTTGTGACCGGGCGGGGTTGCTTCAGAAGGGCAGTCTCTCCTGCCTGCTGGCGGCCCAGCTGCATCCCCAAAGCCCCCGGTGTAGGGCAGCTGCTTGACCCCTGCTCCCTCCACAGGCCAAGACCTGGCAGATACCCTTTAGCCCGTTGTCACCACCTCCTAGAGGCCAGGCACACACCGTTTCACGGTGTGATGACTAAAGCGGTCAGCCGATGCCCACTCCCCCACAAACATCGGCCCACCCCCGAGGGCTCTTAGCGCCTCAGGGACTTTGTCTTCCTCACTGGGAGACTTTTGTGGCAGGGGCCCCAGGCAGACCCGAGGCCCACAAACAAACCTCCTCCCCGGCCATCCCCTCCGTCAAGCAGCGGGCAGGAGCCCTTGCTGCTGGCCTGCATGGCGGTGCTTCGGTGGCATGCAGCCCAGACACTCTCTCTCCCCGCAGACCTCCTCTCAGGTGCTCTGGGTCATCTCCTCGGCCATCTCTGTGGCCTTCTTCGCTCTGTCTGGGATCATCGCACAACTTCTGAATGCCTTGGGGCTAGATGGTGAGTGGCAAAGGGCGTGGCCTGGGGGAACTGGTCCCTGGCAGGATCAGGGCTGTCCTCAGCTGCTGGACATGTGCAGGTGTCCCGGGAGGCAGCCAGCGTGCTGACCCTGACCCCTTAACCCCAGTGTTTAGGTCCCTGGGGTAAACAGTTTGCCCTAACCTAAAGATTTGGCAATTCAAACCTCCCCCACAGTGCTGCAGAATAAAGGGTGGGTGATCTGCTTCCAGGAAAGCCACCGCCGGCAGGTTAGTTCCTGTAGGGCAGAATAGAACTGTGCCTTCGGATTCCAGAGCCTTGTCTTTCTCCCAAGGACCAACTGGTAGCTTATTAACTGTGGACTAAAGCATATTCCCCTGCTCTGCCACCAGGGCCCCATAGAACCCCTGTGGAGCGGTTCTGTGTTATAACAGGCATCACCCACAATGGAAGGATGTATGGATTGTGATAAGAGTTGTACAAGCCCCCAATAAAATGATTAAAAAACAAACTGGCATTGCCATGAGTCCAAGTTGATGTGGCTGAAATCAATGGTGGTGGTTTTTAAAAATAAGAAACAGGAGTTTCCTTGCCAGCATGCTAAGCTGTGGACTCTCGTTTGACTGTGAACCATGGCTTGGTGAGGCAGCTAGAATTGCCCCATTGAGGGGCTGAGACAGCTATAGCCTGCCTGCATTTGATTATGCTGGGGCTGTGCTGCCCAGCGTGAGCTGACGTCTGCCTCTGCTTCCTTCCTTCCAGGGGACCACCTCACACAGGGCCTGCAGCTGAGCCCCAGCCAGGTGCAGACCTTCCTGTTGTGGGGCGCCTCGGCCCTGGTCACCTACTGGTTGCTGTCGCTGCTCCTCGGCCTGGTCCTGGCCCTGCTGGGCCGGATCCTGTGGGGCCTGAAGCTTGGCCTCTTCCTGGCAGGCTTTGTGGCCTTGATGAAGTCTGTGCCCGACCCCTCCACCCGGGCTCTGCTCCTCTTGCCTCTGCTAACCCTCTACGCCCTGCTGAGCCGGCTCACTGGCACCCGGGCCTCCGGGGCCCAGCTGGAGGCCAAGGTGCGGGGGCTGGAGCGCCAGGTGGAGGAGCTGCGCTGGCGACAGAGGCGTGCAGCCAAGGCGCCCCGGAGCGTGGAGGAAGAGTGAGGAGGCCCCCCCCCAGCAGTGCCGCCTGCATCCCACCAAAGAGCTGCGCTGCTTCCAGCTGCACAGCCATCCCCCCAGCCCCAAGCCTGTTCTTGCCCTATCTCTGAACCTCCAGACCCTACCACCCTAGCTAAGCAAGAGGAAGCCTGTTCCCCTGCTGGTGCTTAGGGCCCCGGGCCCCCGAGCGACTGTCTGGCTTGTTCACACCCCCAGGCAGGTGAGAGGGACTCGGCTCCCGCTTCTCCTCATCATAACCCCCTCCCCTCCCTGCTACTTTTGCTTGCTTGGTCTTCCAGATGGATGTCCCTTCCAAGCCACCCACCACTCCCTTCCTGGTGCCCTCTGTCTTCTAGCCCTGCACTCCAACCAGATCACAGCCCCTCAAGGAGGGCCCCTGTCCTCTTCCCTGCCCAGTGGTGGGGAAGGAGCTGGGTCAGTTTCAAGTGCCTTAATCCGAGCCCTGTACGGCAGCAAACGGACTGTGGCTGCTCCGTGTCCAGGAGAGCAGTCCCCTCAGAATCCCAGTTCCCCTTTAGCCAAAGCAAAGAGGGCTGCAGCCTGCAAGGACTCCACAATCCCTGTGCTGCCAGGTCCCTGTGGGGGTGCAGAGCCCGGAAGCCTGGAGGAGGAGCCTCTTGCCTGTTCTTAGTCCTTCCCTGCACTCACTGCCATGAAGAAGCTGGTGCTCGGACTGCCCAGCACTGACCCAGGAGTGTAGACAGAGCCCACGCCCCTCCCCAGTGACACAGGGGGCCTACTGGCTGAGCCTCTACCAGGCTCTCCCTCATGGCGGCCAGGGGCCACTTTTGCCTGGGGCTATGCAGAGGTGGATGGGTGGGCTCTCTGCCAGGCCCGGCATGCATGGGATGTGAAGTGCCCAGTTGGTCCCGAAACTGTTTGGACTCACAGCTGCAGAGATAGATATTTTTATCAGCGCTTGGTTGGTTTTCAATAAAATGCACGCTATTTTATTATCTGGTTCCCTATAAAAATCTCTGTACTTAACGTCTGGGTTCCTTGATTCACCCTCTTACTGAACTCACCTCAGTAGGCCGCCCTGCTTTCCGGACTGTCCCCAACAGAGGCTTGTGTGATTCTGGGGGAGGGGAAAAGCCCCAAAGGCATGCTGGGGCCAGTTTTGCCACCCCACCCACTTCCTCCCTGATGGGCTAAAGGGCCGGAGAAGTTCAGTGCCCTCCAGGGAGCTCGCAGAACCAGTGTGCTCAAGGAACAGTGGGAAGAGGATGGTAGCTCGACCTCGTGGCCCAGCTTCTGACCCCTCCCCATGGAGCCCTCCAGTCTTGCTGCCTCTGCCTCATAGTCCTCAACAGACCTGTATAAGTAGTTTCTGCAGAGAGGCATGTTTTTCTCTTAAATTGCCCAGGAGATGAATGTGCAGCTAGCCTTCTGCCCTGACCTCTCACAACACCACAGCCTGGCAGGCAGTTCTGGTCCTGGACCCCTGCATCACATTTCCCAGATCCACAGGCCTCTCCCCAGGGTGGGACTGGGCATGAAACTCGAGCTGCCTGCACCTGGCTCTGTCCGGGCAGGCCTAAGTGGTTGTCATAGGGCCCCGTTTGGCCTTCCCTGCCCCTGCGGGCCAGGTTCCTAAAATTCTGGTCTGATTCAGATGTTAGATGCTTTTACAGGTGGGCTGCTTCGGGGCGGGGCGGGGCGGGAGGCGATGTTGGAGAGGAAGTGGTTTTTCCCTCCCTGACTCGGAGTTTTCCTGAAGGAAGTCGAACGCCCTGGGTCGCTCCCAGCAGAGGCGGGCCAGCCCCGGGTGAGGTCAGGCGGGAGAAGCGGCCTGCTGGCTGCCCTCGGGCGCGCGGCCACCGAGGGCTTGGACACGCGGGGCACTAGGACCCGGCGGAGGGGCAGCCCATGTGCTGCTCGCCTCCCTCCCACCCTCGCGCCCGCTCCATTGTCTGCGAACCGCGGCCGCGGGGCGGCGGGCGGTGGCGGGAGCAGCCGACCGGGCCGGGCGGCGGGCAATGCCGGGCCGGACAGCGGCCGCCTGAGCCACCCGCCGAGTCCGCCGCCTTCCGCCGGAGGATGTGCGCCCAGGTGGCGGGGCGCGCGGAGGCGGCCCCCGGGGAGCCCCGCGGCCCCGGGCTCCGGCTCTGGCTCCTGGTGGTCCTCACCCTGGACGTCGTGAGAGGTCAGCGGGGGCTGGGCGGGGCGGGAGGGATGCCCAGGAGCCGCGACCCTCCGGGTGCTCGGACGCAGCCCCGAGGAGGGGCGCCCCCCAGCGTGTCCTGAGGGTTGGCGAGAGCTGACCACCGGGATCCCGTTCCCAGGCGCGCGCCCCTATAGCTTCCCTCGCCTTGTACCAAAAAGAAAACCAACTCGTAGCTTCTGACCCGTAGTGACCCTCCAGGACACAGCAGCACTGTCCCTTAAGGTTTCCAAGGCTGCAATCATTACCGAAGCTGACCGCCACATCTCTCCTCTTCGGAGCTGCTGGTGGCTTGGATCTGCCAACCTTCCCGTCAGCAGCCCCGTGCTTAACCATTGTACCACCAGGACTCTTCCCTCACTTTCTGCCACTCGGCAACTCCTGCCGGACTGGAGCTGACTGGCAGAGGCCCTGCCAGGTGACCCCTTTACCTCTTAATCCAGCCCAGCTTCTAGCCCCGCAGCCAGGCAGCCTGACCTGCCCCCCATGCTGGACGGACCCTCTTCACCCTCACCCCCAATCCATACAGCAGCACTTGCTTCCCTCCCCCATGGGGTCTCCCAACACCAGGGAAGGTGAGCAGCCCCCCAGCCCCACCCCCTGCCTCAAGGAGCCTCTCTGACCTTGGAGTCTCCAGGGTTTGCCTCCTTGGTGCCTAGAGCCCTTGGAAGGGGCAGTGGCAGCATGGTGCCAGGGGCGGAGGTCCAGCTCCCCTTGACGTGGGCTGTGGCTACAGAGTGCATGGTGTCACAGGAGAGGGGCCGGGAGGTAGTAAGGCACACACGCACACACCCCTCCAGCCCCAGTGCTGAGCCTTGGGGGATGGGAGCCCATGATAGTCAGCCACCAAGCACCTTATAATTATCAGGGAATGGAGTAGGAGTGCCCTCCTGGCTAGAGGCCAGCCCTAGGGAGCAGGAGTCACTCACCTGTTACACTTGGGACTGAGGTGGTGGCGGCATCTCAGACACATGTTCCCTGGTGTGAGGGGCTGTGCAGGAGGGCCAAGCCCACCAGTCCCCATGGCAGCCCCTGAGTGGGGGTGGGTGGGTGGGGGTGCTGAGATGAAGTGGATGTCAGGGCTGCTTTCAGCCACCTGCTCCCCTCCTTGGGGGACCACTGGGTGGGAGAGCCCTAACAGCCAGGAGAGCCTGGTCATATCCATTAGGCAGCGGTCATGAAGCCTGCTCGCCGGACAGCCGCTGGCCTCACTAAGTACCTCTATAGGTGAAGGAGCAGGGCATCTTGCTCCACTGAGGCAGGGTACCGTGGCCTCCGAGTGTCCCTCCTCCCAGGGAGGTTCTGTTCTTCAGGGGCATTCCGGTCCGAGTAAGACAAGGTCTCACAAGAAGTGACCGGGGGTGAGGCCACAAGCAGGGACTAGCAGTCCAGGAGTGCTTCCTGGAGAATGACCCTGAAGGAGGGAGGATGGCTGCCACTGAACAGCAAATCCCACAGCCTCCCCGTTCTAGCAGTACCCACGAGGAGAGAGGGAGGGTGTACCAGTGGTTAGTGCCTCCCAGTGTGGCGCCTCAGGCAAGTGCCTTCACCACCCAGCCTCCTGCCTGCAAGGCAGGATTCAGATAGTGGAACCTGGTCCTGAACGTCCCCTTTGCTTGGGCTCCTCTCCATTCAAGAGCACGCTTTCGACCCCCGTCTGGCCTTGTCTTTCTCTCGTCTTTCACTTCCTTCAAGGATGCTGTGCTCACTCTCAGCTCACAGTTCATCCAGTCGTTAGTATTTCATGTGCCAGATCCATTCCTGAGATGGTCTCTCAGTGCAGGTGGGATGTTCTCAAGGGCCTACTTATTGCCTACTTGCTCTAATTGGCCCTCGGCTTCATCTTGACCTTGCACTTGACCAGTAGGTGGTCTGCCCGCCGTTGAGCCTTGGCCTTGTTCTGTTACCAAGCGTCTCTCCACCGTGCCTTCCCGCAGATGGACTCGGTTAGATCCTGTGTATGCCGCCTGGTGAGGTCCATGTGTAGGACTACCAGGTGTGTTGTTGGGGAAGGAAAAAACAGAACAAGAAAAGGTGTTTCCAGTGAATAGGTTGTTAGTCTTACAGAGTCTATCACGTGAGCTCCAGCATCGTTTCTGTCACCAGGGCCATCCACTTCGAATGATCTTTCTCCTTTGCTTACAATGTTCTCATTCCAACCGCCAGGAATTACCAGCGTAGGGTCACTTTCCGACTACAGAAGTTGGTCGACATCCTCAATTCTTCATCCTAGGCCTTTGTGGCTGGCTGGTTTGCACATTTGAATGATGGTTATATTATCTGGTCTTCTTGGTAGGCATCTAGCTACTGTCTGATCACTAAAAGTATTGGATTTAAGGCTAGTGCTTGAATGTTAGAGACGGGAAAAATTTTGCTGAAGAGAATTCAAATGTGGTTGCGGGAGCATGCCAACAAGAAGCTGCCAGAACCCAGAACCCCAAGCCGGATTCCGAAGAGGACTTGGAACAAAGGATATTGTGACTGCTATCAGGCCGAGCTTGCAGAAGTAGAGTACCAGGAAAGTAATTCTGTTGTATTGATTGTTTAAAGGCATTGGGCTACGGATCCCAGAAAGCTCTGGTTCATATTTTGGAGACCGGGAATGCCAGAACACATCCTTGTGCTCACATGGAACTTGCATCCCGACCAAGAGGCGGTGGAATGAACAGATCCAGGGCTGTCCTGTCACCAGGCTCCTTCAGTCTGCATGCTGCGCAGATAATCTGGGAAGCTGGAGTCCATGAAGAAGGTGCGACATCAGGATTGGAGGAAGCTTAACAGACAGCCTGCAGCCTGCAGGTGACACGACCCTTCTTGCTGGATGTGAAGAGGATTGAAGCACTTACTGCTGAAGACCAAAGGCTGCATCCTTCACCCTGAATTCTTACACCTCCACATACAGAGCAAAGCAAAACACCCCTCACCACGGGGCCCATAAGCAACATCCTGGTAAACGGAGGAGAGAGTGACATCGTCTAGGATTTCATTTCACTTGGATCCGCAGTCAGTGCCCAAGGAAGCAGCCATCAAGACATGCAACAGTGCATTGCCTTGGGAGGGTCTGCTGCCAAAGACCTCTTGGAAATGCTAAAGAGCAAAGAATGCCTAAGGGGTGCCTATCGCCAGCCGCGATCGTTTCAATTGCCCCATGGGCACTCGATAGGTGGACAGCGGACCAGAAAGACTGCAGGAGAATTGATGCTTGGGCGTGATGGTGTTGGCGAAGCCAAATAAACATAGCGAGCGCTGCTGGAAGCCCGAGCAACTCTGTCGTGGGAGAAGTACGGCGGAAGGGTCCTTAGAAGGGAGAATGGTGAGGTTTGGTCTCAGGTACTTTGGACATGTTATCAGGAGAGACCAGTCTCCGGAAATGGATAGCATGCTTGGTACAGACAAAGACCCTCAGGGAGATGGTGGCTGCCAAGAGGGGGCTCAACACAGCAACGCCTGTGGGGATAGCGCAGGATCAGACAGCGGGTGGTGCTACTGCACGACGGGCCGCTGAGTCAGAACCAACAACAACAGTCCATAGAGTTATTATTAAAATGAAAGGAGTTGGCGCATGTAAAATAATGCCCTGCATAAGTGTTCAGAACTGTGGCTGAGGATTGCTGGGATGGTTAGCCAGCGAAGGGACCCCAGGTACAATGGTTAAGCACATGCTGCTAATGAAAAGTGAGCAGTCCAGACTCACCCGGCCACTCCGTGGGAGCAAGGCCTGCCAGGCTGCTTCCGTAAAGAAGACAGCCAAGAAACGGCCCCTGGGAAGTTCTGCTCTGGTGCTCTGGAGCATGGGGTCACTCTGAGTAGGATCCACTTAACAGTCCCCAACAGCAACAAGTCACCTAGCACAAATCAAAGATGGCCCTAGCGGTCCTTAGAGCTACAGGTTCATAATCCTCTCCCTACTGCTTGCCTGAGCACTCCCTCACTGCCCTCGACTCCCTTCCAGTCCACAGTGACTCTACAGGACAGGGTAGAATTGCCTCCGTGAGTTTCTAAGACTTTAACTCTTAACTAAAATATAAAGCCTCATCTTTCTCTGGCAGAACATCTGGTGGTTTTGAACTGCTGACCTTGGGTGTTGTCGAATGTATAATCACTAGGCCACCAGGGCTCCTACTGGGCACCCCCAGGCCTTCACAAATCATCTCAGCATCTCCCTCCCCACCACCTCCCAGGGAGACTGGCAATGCCTAGGATGCCCAGCCAAGCCTAGCCAAGGACTCTAGGCCAGAAGGAGGGTCCCACCCTCTCCAAACGATTCTCTTCCTGGTTGTTTACCTCTCAGGTTCTGTTTGGTGAGACTCGTGCCCCACAAATGCCACCGGGGTGTCTGAGGGGAGTAGGCAGGGGACAGGCATGGAGGACAAGGGGGCACTGGGAAAATTCTGCTGGAGCAAGGGAGGGAGTCCGGGTTTACGGAAGTCTAGACGGATTGGAAGCTGGCATCCAGGGAGTGTAGCATTCAGGGAGTCCTCGGTCCAGATGCAAATCTTGTTTCTGTCCCATGCAACTTATGTGGGGCTCCTGCATCCGTCTCACCACCTGGGGAATGGGTGTACCTTTCTCCCTCCACTGCCTACCAGCACTGTGCCCCAGGATGGAGCTTGGGAGCTCTCACCATCCCTGCCTCTTCTCCCTCTGCAGTGGGCTGTGACCAGAACCCCCTAGAGCCCGTCTACTTGCCAGCTGCCCTGGAGCTCCTGGATGCCCCCGAGCACTTCCGAGCACAGCAAGTAGGCCGCTACCCACCGGCCAACGCTTCCCTAAGCTCAAGGTCAGAGACCTTCCTGCTCCTGCAGCCCTGGCCCAGGGCCCAGCCACTGCTCCGGGCCTCCTACCCGCCCTTTGCCACTCAACAGGTAAGCACAGGGGCACAACAGCCCCCAGTCTCAGAGCCCCAGGTCTGGTGTGTGGCTCAGCTCCCTCCCTGGCACCCGAGGGGCGGCCCACAAAGGCTGCTTGTCCTCTCCCGAGCCTGGATACCAGCTCCTATTTCCTCATCCGCACCCCCACCCCCTCTCAGGTGGTCCCTCCCCGCGTCACTGAGCCCCACCAGCAGCCAGTCCCGTGGGACGTTCGAGCCGTGTCTGTGGAAGCTGCGGTGACTCCAGCGGAGCCCCACGCCCGAGTCCTCTTCCATCTCAGGGGGCAGGACTGGCCCCCCGGGCCTGGCAGCCTACCATGTGCCCGGCTCCATGCCACCCACCCTGCGGGCACTGCTCACCGGGCCTGCCGCTTCCAGGTGAGTGGTGGGCCCCTGTGGGCTCAGAGAGGGGTCCTGGATTGGGATAACAGAGCTCAGCCCTTCTGGGAGCTTTCACAGGGGCGCAGGAAAGGGCTCAGAGCTTGGTGGCCAGCCAAGAGGTCAGCAGTTCGAAGCCACCAGCCTCTCCGAGGGAGAGCAATGCGGCAGTGTCCACCAGGAAGATGGACACCTTTGGACACCCTAGGGGACAGTTTGGCTCTGTCTTTTAGGGTCGCTCTGAGCCAGAAATCCCCTGGAAGGCAGTGGGTTTAATATCCGTCTTACGGAGTTCAGTTCCTCGTGTCTGACATTGGGCGAAGAGCTGCCTCGCTCTGAGCCTCCGTTTCCTCATCTGTAAAATGGAGCGGTCATAATTCCTGCCTCATGTGGGGTTGGTGTGAAGAGTAAGTGAGACAATGCAAGTGGGGCTTTTGTCCCTGAGCCGTCCCCTCCCTCAGCCAGGGGATGTGCGCAGCCTGGGGCTGCTCCTGTGCTGCGAGGCGAGGGCTGTTGCTGGAGGCAAGCCCAGGGGGCCACTGGAGCAAGAAAGAGAGAGGTCTTTGGTGAGAATCTGGAGTGAGACTCTCACCCAAAGGTTGGCAGTTCAAACCCACCCAGGGGTGCTTCAAAGACGTGCCTGGTGATCGTCGTGCTTTTAGCAAGGTCATGGCCTTGAGAACCTAAGGCAGCAGGGGCACTCTGCACGCACGGGGTGGCGCAGGGTGGCAGCAAGTCGGAATGGACTCCCGGGGCTGGATTTGGGGATACTGAGTGGAAGCCTGGTTGTGGTCAGGGCCCTCGTAGGACACTGTCAGGAGAGGCTTTGGGGTGTCTTGCTCCAGGGAGATCAGGCCCCAGGGTGGAAGAAGACCCCGCCCCTTTGCTCTGTATCATGGTGAAGCACCTGGGACACACCTGTGGCCCTCTTTCATGCACGGCCCCTCCAGCTCCCGGTCCCCGAGCCAACCCGACCCCTCTCCACAGCCGACCCTGGGCGCCTGTGTGGTGGAGCTGGCGTTCCCCGCCCACTGGTTCTCCCAGGCCACCTCCACGCGGGCCGAGCTGACCTACACGCTGGAGCCCGAGGCCGACGGCCCTGGCGGCTGTGGCCCAGGCAGCGAGGAAGACCTCAGGAAGCAGGCCCTCCCTGTGGGCAGTGTGGAACTGCGTTCAGCGGACCCCCCGCAGTACCAGGAGGTGCCCCTGGATGAGGCCGTGACCCTGCGGGTGCCCGACCTGCCTGTGCGGCCTGGCCGGACCTTCAGTGCTACCCTCCTTCTTCGACGCAACTTCACGGCCAGCCTCCTGACCCTGCGGTGAGCATGGGACCTGGGGACGAGGACCTCCAACCTGCCACCCCCGTGCAGACAAGGAACTCTCATGGCTGTCACCTGGGTCCCACAGGGGTGGGCACAGCCCTGAGGCTGGAGGCCCCTCGCCTTGGTACTGCTCTGAGATCTGAGAGCATCCAGACACTCCTCCATCTCTGCGCGTTCAAATCTCGCTACCCCTCCTTCCAATCTTCTAGCCCCATGTCCGAGACCCACCCACCCCAGACCTCTCAGCTTGTCTTTCCCGTCGCTGCGAGCTGTGTGAGCTCAGCAGATGCTCCTTTAGAAGAGCCGTCTGTCGCTGTGTCATTCAGTACGTGCAGAGATGGCTTCAGGGGGCATTTCTGGTTCTTGGTGTGAAGGTTTTCTCAGCGTGAAGGTCCCCCACCCTGCCTCAATAGACCCAGGACGAATTTGCTTGCATATTTGATCAAGCCATTCCATCATGGTAGCTGGGTACCAGCCAGTTCTTCCAGTCTCTGGAGCCCTCGTGGTCGATGGAGGCAGGTGGACCGGCCGTCTGGTGGCTTCTCAGCTTCCTGGCTCTGTGTCCTCCATGCCCTCTCCAGAAGAGTAGAGCCCAGGTGTCTCTTGGATAGCCGATTGCAAGCTTTTAAGGCCCCTCTTTAAGAAACTGTCATCCCTCGGGGCTAATGCCACCCACTTCACTGGGCGGCTGCAAGGCTCGAGAGGGGGAGAGGCAGGGGTGGGCTTGGAAGCTGGGGAAACTGTGCCTGAGGAAGGGCAGAGGGGTGGTGCTCTAATGACTCAAACATCTAGGTGCATTTTTTCCGTGTACAACCTTCCATTCAGCTCCCTGGCCTGTGCCTATAGTCACCAGCTCACACGTGGGTGTAGCAAAGCCCCACTGCCCATCCTGGCTAACGGGTGGGCGGGGATGCCCATTCAACCCATCAACCAGGATAGGTAGGGCATGGCTTGCCTCCCCAGAGTGTGGGATATGAGGGTCCATCCCAGCGTATCTCGGGGGATGCCTCTCCATCTCTAGCTCTCTTGGACAGACACACACTCACCAGTACTTGTTGGACACCACCACAGGGAGCCAGCTCAGTTCCCCTCCAGCACAAGCCACTACCTGGGTGGGGCACGAGGGGACGGGAGAGCTTGGGGGGGGTGTCTTTGCACTCTGACCAAGAAACAAAGTCTGTGGGAGTGGGGATGGGGGGAATTTCCCTGGCACACAAAACCAGGGCAAGCTTTCTGAAGGACATGGCACTGGGGTGGTTGGTGGGCAGATCTGGAAGAAGACAGGATCGAGCAAAGGCCCAGGGCCCAGGCACTTTCAGTACAGTTGACACCCAAGTGTGAGATGTCACGGCTGAAGAGCTGGCTAGACCAGACACTGGCAGGCCTTGCTCAGGGGGCAGTGGACTTTGAGTGGGAGAGCGTAAGGTAACATGAGCTAAGGTGAACTCCCACCAAGAGCAGGTCAGACCAGACGGGGGCGAGCAGGAGATTCACACGGGACCCCGAGACGCCAGGAGGAGGCTGCTCTCCTGGGGGGTCCCTGTCCCTTGTCTTCCCCCTTTGATCTAGCCCCTGGCTCAGTGCCCACCTGACACACGCCCTTGTGTGCCATCCCACAGGATCAAGGTGAAGAAAGGCCTGCATGTGAGTGCCGCCCGCCCAGTCCAGCCCACCCTCTGGACTGTCAAACTGGTCCACTTCAAGAGTTCCAAACACCACACCGCTCTCATCACTTGTCACCGTGCCGGGGCTGCAGTGCCACACTCCAGGTGGGCAGCCCGGCAGCATGGGTGATGGGCCCTGAAGGGCTAATGAGGGGGTGGGGGGTGTTATTGTGCCTGAGGGAAGGGGCCCTGGTGATGCCTCAATTTGCCCCTGTGAGCAGACCGAGAACAGACTTTCAAGGCAGCATGTGCAGACGATGTATCACTCATTCACTCATTCATTCAGCCATGATGATGCGGCCTCACACGGGCCACGTCCTGATTCTAGGTGATGCCAACCTACCCCAGCCCTCCAGCTCGAGCCCTCACCGCCACTGCCCTGTCCCTGCATCCACGCAGCATACCCCCAGATCACCCCCTCCCCACTCGGGTCCCCCAGGGAGCTGCTTCTCCTTGAGACCCCAAGCCTCCTAGGCCACCTCTTTTGTGCCCCTCAAGAGTGAGGTGGGCCCAGCACACATGTAGTACTGCTGCAATGACGGCGTCCGTGGGTGTCGCCAAGGGTTGCCCGTCCAAACCCACATGGTAGCTCCACTGCTTCTGGACATTTATAACCCATGCCTCCCCCAAACCCAGCCGCCTCCCCCAAACCCAGCCGCCTACCCCGCCATCCCCAGCACTCACAGAGTCTTCTGATCCGCACCCGGAGCCTGTGGGCAGTGCAGCCCCTGCGCTAAGCCGGTCCCTACCGCCCTGTAAACCTCCCTCCAACGCCACCTCTCCATCCCCGCCCGCCGCTAAGCCGCAGGCCCCTCACTTGTAAACCGGGGAGGGGTTTGTGGAGAGGAAGCTACCAGGGTTTCAATCCGGAAGGTGGCATATCCAGTCTTGCAACCTGGAGTCCAATTGCACTCTTGGCTGGAAATGGCCATCAGGTGCTTTATGTCCCCCTGACGGCTTGGGAAGGGAGCCCTGGTGAGGTCATAGGTTAAGTGCTGGCTGCTCCAGCCCGTCAACCACTCTGTGGGAGAAGGACAGGCGGTCAGCTCCTGCAAAGATTGACAGCCTCCGAAACCACACGGGGCAGTTGTATGGTGTCCTGTAGGGTCACCACTGTGAGGCAGTAACAGCAGTGGGCATTTCCCTGGTTGAATGGCTCCAGGGCGCAGCGGTGGGGGTGGAGAGGGCCCAGGAAGCCAGCACTCGCCTTGGAGGAGGATCCTCAGCTGCGTGGGCCTTGCCGAGCTCACGGGTGCGAAAAGCCTGGGCTCTGGAACTGGGCTGCTTGGGATAGAGCCCCGGCACTGACTGGCTGGGGGACCTTGGGTGAGTGGCAGGACCCCGAAGCCTCAGTCTCCGTATCTGGTATGGGGCTGGTGACTGCACAAGGGACGGGTGCCTGACAGCCCGTGGGCACTCAGCACTCCTCTCTGCTCCCCGCAGCACCCCGGAGCTGGCCGAGTTCCTGTGGGTGGACTTCGCCGTGGAGAATGGTACCAGCGGGGGTGGGGCGGTCACCCGTCCGGTCACATGGCAGCTGGAGTACCCTGGCCAGGCCCCGGAGGCAGAGAAGGACAAGATGGTGTGGGAGATCCTGGTGTCAGAGCGGGACGTAAGAGCACTCGTCCCACTGGCCAAGGCAAGAAGCCCCTGCTTCTGCATGACTGGGCAGGGGCCAAGTGCCCCTCCTCACCCGCCGGCCCGCGCCCCCACCCCTGCCCCCTGCTAAGGGGCTTGTAGCTGAACTCTTCCTGCACACCCCCAGGCGGAGGAGCTGGTGAACACGGCCCCGCTGACCGGCGTGCCCCGACATGTCCCCGTGCGCCTTGTCACTGTGGACAGTGGGGGCACCCTGGTGGAGGTGACGGAACATATCGGCTGCGAGTCTGCCAACACACAGGTCCTACAGGTGAGTGACATCCACGGTGACACGCTCCAGATTGCCCCCTCCCACTTAGGTCCCCAAGGGAGCTGCTGCTTTAGACCGGAAGTCTCCTCGGCCACCTCTTTTGTACCCACCGGAATCCGGCGGCCCCAGCTCAGGCACTGTCACTGCAGAGGTGGAGTCCCTGGCGGTTGCTGAAGGTCGGCGGTCTAAACTCACGCGGTAGTGCCTCGGAGGACAGACCTGGCAACCTGCTTCCGAAAGGTCGCAGCCTTGAGACCCAATGTTGCGGTTCTGCCCTGTACACACGGGCTCACCAAGTCACAGTTACAGGCACCTGGCAGCAGTGCACTGCGGTGATGAAGGAGGACTGAGAATACAGGCTCCTGAATGTGCTTGGCCTCCTGCCCCCTTGTCAGGAAAGCGCTAGCTCCGCAGCCCTTTGGCGATGACAAACACTG